TTTTACGAGATCATCATGAAATAAAATTTTTCGGACCAGTTGATATGAGAAAAGAACGAAAAATTTATGTGAAAGAGGAAAAATAGCGAAAGGAAAAATATCGAGCAGAGAAATATCGAAAGGAGAAATGTCGAATGATTATACGTCGAAGGGGAGAAACGTTGAAAAAGAAAAGAAAAAGAAATCGAAAGAGAATTACGTTGAAAGAGAAATATTGAAAAAAGTTATGTCTACATAAAATGATGACTATAATGTTTCTAAGTATATTGTTCTTTTCCCATTATTCTATTGGAGTAGCAGCATAACCATTAGAAATAGTAATCGATAGTATATGTTATAGAAGAATTACAATAGTGAGAGTGAAGAAAATTATATTCAACAATCGAAAATTTATGTTCATGGCTGCAAGTTCTTTTTCTTCACTTGATAATAATATTTCACAATCTTCTATTGTCTCATTTATTCAGTCACAAAAAGGGAAACCGTTACTTGTACTAGATAAATGTATTTTTAAATTGAACAGAACAACAACAACAACAACAAAATATTGGATATGTACATGCATTGAGTGTTCTATGAAAGTCCATACAAATATGAGTAATCAATTGGTAAAAATAATTGGTGAACATTAACATTGTACTGAACAAGAATTGATAGATGTACATGAACTTCGAGGAAAGGTGAAACAACGAGCGATAGACGAGACAACACCTATTCCACGAATTTATGACGAAAAGTGTGCAAAAGCTATGTTATCAAATGCAGTCATAGCTTTATTACCTAGTGAACGTGAAATAAGTAAACACATATTTTTTTAATGCTTGATCTTAATAGTAACTTATCGTTCTTTTTTAAGATAGTGCAGTTAATAACGCTCGTCATGCTGTAACACCAACAATACCAACAACACAACTATTTGATCTTTCTGATTTTTATACTAAAACATTACGAAATAATGATTTTTTAATTGCTGATAAATTCATTAATAGACGACAGAGAATAATTTTATTTGGATCTCATGAACAATTAAAAATGCTTTTTTCAGCTGAAGTAATTCTTATGGACGGTATATTTTCTGCTTGTCCAAAAATATTTGATCAGATTTATACAATACATTGTATTAAATATAAACAATGTCAGTAATTACTTCTGTTCTTAGCAACTTCTAAGCTTCTTATTTCCTTTCTTTAGCATTTCCCTGTGTTTTCGGATTATTACTAAATAGACATAAAAATACATATAGTTTTTTATTTCATGAATTGAGATATGTAGCTTTACAAATGAAACTTGATTTTTCACCAAAAATTGTAATGAGTGATTTTGAATCAGGATTGGCTAGTGCAGTGAAATCTGAAGTAAATGTTTTTTTTTATCTTGCTAGTGGCGTATGTCTTGTTATTTTCATCCTATCTTATAGTTTACTACAGCAAAACACTCATCTTGCTTTTTTCATTTCACTCAAGCCATATATAGAAATATTCAACAACTTGGTCTAAGTTCAATGTATAACGATGATTGTAATGTTAAATCGTTTTGTCGAAAGTTAATGGCTCTTGCATTACTATCTGAAACTGTTATCGAAGATGCATATGATGATTTAGTGGGAGATTTATCACCAGATATGAGAACAGTCATTAATGATTTACTTGAATATTTTCAACGACAGTGGTTCCTCAAAGTACCTATTTCTCAGTGGTGTGTTCATGGATCATATATTAGAACAAATAATAATGCCGAGGGTATACATTTCTTCCTACTTTTCTTAATATCCACGCTTTTATATTTCTCAGCATTTCATAGTCGATTTAATCGTAGAGTACAAATTCATCATCCAAACATCTGGTCCTTCATTAAATTTCTTCAAGCAGAAGAGAGTCGTTTTCATCACATGTATATTCAATTCTCTTCAGGTTTAAGTACAAGAACACAAAAAGTTAAAACTATTGCTATTCAACATCGTATAGAAAATCTTACTGAACGATATAATGATGGTCTTATACATGTTATGGAATATTTAGATGGTCTATCACTTGTAATTGCTAAGAAGAAAAAATAAAAACGACACTTTTTTTCATTCTCTTCTATATCTACTATCAATAAATGATGTTATTATTATATTAAGAATAAAAGATATTCTATTGATTCAAATTTTTCCTCTTGAATATTTTTCTATTCATTTTTTTTCTTTCAATATTCGTTCTGTTTCTTTCGATATTTTTCCCTTCGATATTTTTCCTGTCGACATTTTTTCTTTCGACATTTTTCTTTCGACATTTTTCTTTCGACATTTCTCCTTTCAACATTTTCGTTCTTTTTCTTTCGACATTT